AAAAGAAAGTTTTTACGGTTCAACGTTAAACGACATAATAATATTCTAAAAATGTTATAACAGATTTTCTTAGATGTACTGAAATAAATAAATAGACTCTCCTTCAAAAAGTAACTGCCCAACTTGACTCACATTCAGAATCAGACCTAATGGCCTTCGTGGACTTGAGAAGTGCAGCTCAGCTACGCGACACTTTGTTTTCTGTGAACGCGGAACCCACTCTTCACTGTCCTTGATACCTGGAAAGCCCCCAGCAGAGTGGACCATATTTGCTTCAACTGATTTGCATTTTGTAATTGACAATGGCATTTCTGTCTCAACATGACATTAAAGAAGTCATAGAAGCAGTATGAGATTTTCCTGATCATCACTTGATTTTAAAATTTTGAGCACTATTACACTCAAATGTTTTTCAATATTCTTTTGGTACATGCTGAATGAGTGACACAAGGCTTAAACAATAAGAAATTGTAATTATATTCTAAGATTTATAAAATGGACGTAAGCTTATATACATGCTGAACCTAGGTGAACTCCAAACAGAGAGCATATACAATTTTTGTATTAAATTAAGAACAGGACATGAAAAAAATAGCTCATGTATTATAAATAAAAATTAAATGTTCATTCTCTGCTCTTGTTAAGTGTCAGGATAGCTTCTGGTAGGGGTGATCTGGATAGTCCAGGTAGACCTGGAAAGGGAGGTGAGGCTTTTTCTTTGTCTTGGTAAACTGCCTTGCTGCAGCAAGCGTGAGAATTCACAGAGCACAGTCACAGAGATGCTCACGGTGGCACAGGCTCACAAAGTGAGCTGGTGTGGTGATGATGAGGACAAGGATGTAAACAAAAAAGAACCCAGCTCCAGGGTTAGTTCTGCTGATCACTTAGCCTTTCTAAAGACAATTTTATTTTCTCTAAAATAAGAATATATATTCATGACTTCCAGGTACCAGACAACTATTAAAAACATCAAAGAAAGAAAATCAAATGAGCTGGGCTTGCCAGGTTTTTTTCAGCTTTCCTGGCTCCCGAGTAGCTACAGACAGAGCAACTCAGTGTCAGGCTAATGGCTCCATCACCAGGAAACTTCCCGGCCATGACACTCCCATTCACATCCTTTGCTTCCGCAGCCAGTGTGCATTCTCAGTCCCTGGGCTGCCCAAGAAGAGACTGGAATGCCATGGACTCTGAGGGAGCATTCTACCACCCATGGTTCCTGTTCCATCCCAACCAACTGCTAGGTTTGCAATATGAAGTAATTCAATTTCGTTGAGCTTTGGGCATGGCAAACATTTCTTCTGTAGAAGTCATATTCTTCATGACTACTCAAGCTGATTGGCTAGTTAAGACATTGAAAATAATAGTATTAACAGAAGCAACGATACTGAATGTAATTATTAGGTAGGGACTGAGCAGATAAACAAAAGAGCTCATAGAAAATCCAGTTTGTTACCTACAAGTTTAGCACATGACTCGAGCACTTTCTATTTCATTTGGGAAAGTATGAAAGGCGCCAGTAATTCTTTGCTACGGATCTCGCACGCTGTGAGATGGCTCAAACACTCGGAGTTGGCATCTGACGCCACCTGCTTGAATCTGTGAACATCCCAAGTGAGCAGACAATGGCAACAAAAGGGAAATGCATCAGCAAGCCTTTACGACAGACCACAAAGTGCGAAACGGCAAAAGCTGGGGTTGTTCAAACTGCAAAACTCACTGGCAAACTCACTGGACCAGGTGCTGTTTAGGGAAATACATAAGAAAATCACAAACTTGGTTATTTAAACAAAAGGAAAGTGTTTCCTGTCTCCCTTCACTCCCTTTGAAACCAAAGGCATAGATGGCTGGCTTGGTTCTTTGGAAAACATCTTGTTCTTGGTTCAAAAAAAGCAATCATAGAGCAGCATTATTAAGGAAACCAAACGATGATCAAATGTTAAAAAATAAAAATCAGACAACTTTACACCTGGAAGTAAGCCTTTCAGGAATAACAATGATAACAATGAACAGGGCTGATGAATTTTTTTGGAAGAAAAAAGTTCTAATCCAAAATTTTTAAAAAAATGCTACTAAACAGAAATCACAAGACCTATCAGGGCTAAGTTTCTTTGTTATTTTACATAATTTTGGAACTACCAGACACAGACTTAATTTGCCATTTCAGAACAAAAATCTAAGGTCTGCTTGTTGGCTGTAGAATATTTTTATCTGTCTACCTGCTGTGTGATGAAGAGACCAAACAGAGACGGCGCTCGCAGAGATGGCGAGTGAGAATTTCTCCACTTGACAGACAATGCCCTGATCACTACTGGTCGCTGGAGCACGGTGAACGATGCAGGGGACAGAAGTGACAGAAGTCGTCAGAGACTTTGGTCTCTAAAGACCATGGTGAACGCACTGCAATCTTGTTTAACTCAACCCTGTCATCAGAAAATGCTAACTGCAGATGCACTCACAACCATCCCAGTACCTCCTACACAAAGTACTGCATCTTCCTTGCTGCTTTGGAGGAGAGAGGCATATAAAGGTTTTGTTAATATAAAGTGAAGATTCAACAGTGGCTTGTTGAGAAAGGGACTATAGAATGTATGGGCTTTTTTATAAGTAGAGATATTTTAATGATGGGCTTTATGGTTAGGAGTCTTTGTAGAAAAGTTCAACACTTATCATAAAGGCATGTAGTCTCTAAACCTTTAAAGATGCGAGAGAGGAAAACTTGGAGAAGGGGGACGGTTTACAGAAGGCTGAGGAAGCCTCTGCATTTGTAGGCTGTTTTAGATGCTCCTCCTAGAGACCACAACGGCAGAGACCTCATGCTCATCTGGAGCTCCATGGAAGGCAAATATTCGCCTCCCGGATGAACCCTGCGGGGAAGCCTATCATAAAGCCGCAGTCATTTTGCTGAATGCTGAACTCCCATTTTAAGCCAACAGGAAGAATGGAAAATGTGAAAATGTGCTATTTTAGAATTCGGTTACAAAGTCACTAAATCCTCAAAGTCTCATACCAGCATTTGGATAAGTTTCGCTTTTATGTGGCATATATTTTAGAATACATTTATAGCATACGTTTATAGTTTTTATAGCTCAAGGCAGAGTAAGATTGTAACTGCAAAATAATCTGCAGTTGAAATGAAACCACTGCGCTCTTCACTTTGCCAGAGACCTAGGCCAGTGCGGTGCTCCTGACTTTCGTCACGTCCTCTGGGTCACAGCCCACGCTTCCAGGGTCCAGCGAAGTCCACGCTTCAGCGAGCCCTTCCGCACCTCCCTCTAGCCCTCACTGGCACCCCTTCCTTTGAAGTGCAAGCGCACCTTTAGCCTCTATCTCATGACTTGGCGTTTCTATACTTACTTCATTACACCCACGAACAACCTTCCACGAGGTTGCTTCACCTACTCTAACGCTGGAAATACATTATAAGCGTCTCAAAGTCCAAAAGCTAACCCGCACGTACCGTATCCCGCGGTGTCTGCAGCAGAGCAAGTGCACGTGATGGGCACTTGATAAAAACCTGTGCTCGGCCCACAAGCAGGAATGGCAGCCTTCCAGGGAGCCAGTCACAGATGGCGCTTTCAGACTGTCCATTTCCACGGCTCCCCTGTTCCACCCTTCACGGTGCCCACAGGAAGAGGCGCACGTGTGTTCTGTACTGTTCTGTGCCCTGACATGAAGGGCAGACACTGACTTCACGGCTGAGCGCTGCTCCTGGTGCAGGAAGGGGCCCATGCTTGGCAGCCACACTTCTCGGAGTCAGGAACACGGCTTCCAGGCCCTAGGCAGCACCAGGGCCAGCGGCTCCCAGGAGGCCACCCTGTCCTTTTGCTCACCTTACACTTAATCCCTGATGGTCCCAGAGTAAGACTGAGGGGTAGCAATGCCACCTGCCATACGATACTTTGAAATCACAAATGCCCTAATATCGTATACAATAACAACAACAAAACTAACACAGTCCCTGGTCTACGGGGCCTGGTGAGTCGGCACGGCTCCTCCCTGAGGGGCACTCAGAACAGCCAAGCGTGGCAGGTGGGGTTGCCATCCTCTGCTGGATGCTCAGTCTTCCTATCAAGCAGAATCGCCTTTGCTCAAAGTATTTTTATGTTTATTTGGCAGTGGGTGAGGGAGGGGTGAGAAAGAGACAGAGAAAGAGAGAAAGGTATCCTTCACTCACTGGTTCACTCCTCAGATTCTTACAACTGCATGTGCAGGCCAGGGTGAAGTCGAGAGCCAAGAATTCACTCTGGGTCTCTGACATCGGGATACCTGGGCCATCACTTGCTGTAGTGCAAGTGCACATTCGCTAGAAGCTGGTTTGGCCGGCGCCGCGGCTCACTTGGTTAATCCTCTGCCTGTGGCGCCAGCACCCCGGGTTCTAGTCCCAGTTGGGGCGCCGGATTCTGTCCCGGTTGCTCCTCTTCCAGGCCAGCTCTCTGCTGTGCCCTGGGAAGGCAGTGGAGGATGGCCCAAGTGCTTGGGCCCTGCACCCCCATGGGAGACCAGGAGAAGCACCTGGCTCCTGGCTTTGGATCCGTGCAGCACGCCGGCTGTAACGGCCATTTGGGGGAATGAACCAACGGAAGGAAGACCTTTCTGTCTCTCTCCCTCTCACTATCTAACTCTGCCTGTCAAAAAAAAAAAAAAAGGCTGGATTGGAAGCAGAGACAGGACTTGAACCTAGCTAGGCATATCAGCATTGCAAGCAGTGGCTTAACAGACTGTACCATAATACCTGCCCCAGCTTAAAATATTGGTGGGCAATATATTCTCACATAAAAAAAAATACATAAATGTCACTAATAGTTGCAAATGGGTATTTTTAGGGTTGGAAACTCTCATCCTTACAGAGAAAGGAGAAAACACGAATAATTTGAAAGTTAGCTACTGAAAAGTCCAGTAATTCTTTAAAGACAAAAAAGGATGGGCACAGGGCTACTGAGATAAGGGTACTTTGTTCTCATTTTGAGATTAGTTATTTTATAATCATCCATAAAGAGATGATGTTTCCCAATTTTAGAGGTATAAACATGTTTGTTTTTTTCCAAATAGAGGGAAAAATTTTTTTCTCCCCAACAAGGACATGTGTTTGTACCAGAAAACAGCCCTTCATAAATAACTGTCATCTTGATGAAACAGATGCACAGTTTTGTCTTCTTTGTGAAATTACATGATAACTGTCCTGTACAGGGGACTTCAAACATTGTTCAAAAAGTGGTGGACATCTGGCCTAGAGGTTCAGACACCTGCTGAGTCACACTCCTGGGTCTGAAAATCAGCTCCACTCCTGGCTGCAGCTTCCTGCTGAAGTACACCCTGGGCAGCAGGTAGATGGCTCGAGTCGCCGGGTGCTGCCACCCACTTGGGAATCTTGAATTACATCCCAGGACCCCAGCTTTAGCCTTTGTGAGCACCTGGGCAGTGAGCCAAGGAATGGGAGAACTGTTTCTCTCCCTCTCTGCTTCTCAAATAATAAATGAAAGATTTTAAAAAGAGGCGTGCGATGGACATTAAGACATGGGTCCAAATGCCCAAACTCTGTATCAGAGGGCCTGGGTTTGAGTCACAACTTTGCTCTCAACTCCAGCTTCCTGCTAGTTCCCACTGTGGGACGCAGCAGTGGCTGGGCCCCTCCTACCACATGGGAGGTTTACACTGGGTTCCCCCCACTAGGCTTCAGCCTGGCCCAGCCCTGGCCATTGAGGGCATTTGGGGAATGACCTATCTGATGGAAGCTCTCTCTTACTCTGCGTCTCAAGTAAGTAAAATAACTTTTTTAAAAAGACAAGTGTATTTTGTTGCAAAAAAAAATTTGAAATCCATAGTTTTTTTCATAATATACATTTTCTGAGGACTTTTTAAAGACCCCATGTACCTAACATTTATATCAAGGTTAGAAAACTGATAGAAAGTACAGTGAAAACCAGGAGATTAGACTTCAGGCTAGAGAAGCCCCTTTTATGGGGTCCCTTCCCCAAAATCCAAATCTTAGAGAAAAACTGGGTATAAGCCATCACAAATATGTACAGTGCTGTTTTGAACAGATAATTTCATACATAAAAAATGGCATTAATTGTTTTATTTTACTCCTGATTACCACTAAGACTGATCATCTTCCATGGTTCAGTTCTCCCAAAAACACCCAAACTGTGTTATTTTTCCATTTATCAACTGGTATTTTGAGATTCTCCTATCATCTCAATTCATGTGCATTCTTCATACATTAAAAATGCAATTCTTTCACATGTTTGTTCTCCATATCTAGATTACAGCCTAATGAAAGTGTTGGTAGCCACACTTTTGAACGCTTGCATTACGCTGGGCAGACAGGTTCCTGAGGGCCATAAATCCACGGCTTCTGAGCGGAAGCTCTGCAGGCACGTGCCAGGGGAGGGCACAACCTCTGCTTCTTCCCCCAGCCCCCAGCCTGGCTTCCCTTTCGCCAGCCACTGTCACGGGGTAGCGCCCTCAGAGAAAGTTCCAGAGCTCTGCTAGTTGTGAAGTCTTGCTCCCACAGCACTGGACTAGCACTGCTTCCACCTCTCCCTTCAGGCTACACGGCACCAGTGTGGGTTTCAGCTGCCACCCACATCCCTCACCTCTCCTCCTTGATTTCTCTGGCTGTTTTCTCTGGCCCCCAGGTATTGTCACTATCCCTTGGTGCTGATCCTGGAGTCCTTGTTAAAGTGTAAACACAGTCCCAGCGTAAAGGTATTATTACCGTTTATAGCTTCAACCACCACCACTACTGTCGGACAACTCCTAAACTTTATCTCCATCCTTGCTTGTTTTTGCAATAAATTCTTAGTTTCAGGTGATTATTAGATATCTCCACCTGGATGCTCTATCTGTATCACAAACTCTGGGTTTTAAAGCAAAAACTGTACTCTACCCCTCCTACCCCAACCCAAGGCTCCTGTGCCATCACTAGGTGGCAGGTTGGGAAGTCCTGTGTTGCTTCTTCCTCACGTTCCACACTCAGTGCTGCTGCCTGTACGCTGCCTGTCTCTAAAGAGGGCTCGTGCTTATTCTGGTTTTGACTTCCAGAACTTCCCTGAAACAAGCCCTGCTCATCTTTGTCGTTCTCCATCACAGTAGTCGTATTTTCCCAAACACGCATCTATGCTGCTCCTCTGCCCCTCAAAGCACTGAGTGGCTTCTCAAAGATGAGTCAAGATGATTTACCCCGAAGTAAGGTTTTCCACAATCAGCACTGCGCCCTCCGCTCACTGACTCTTGGCCCTGCGTGGTAGCTTTCCCACTTCCAAGGCGTTGCTCACGCTACTCTACAGACCTCTCTTGCTTCCACGGCTTCCTATGCAAGTCAACACCACCGCCCCTGTGAAGGGCTTCCTCCCCTCCCAGGACTTGACATTACATAGCCAGATTGACAAAGAAGAAAAACACACTTAAAGACAAAAGACACCACAGACATAGCTAATGAAGAATTGATAAACCCAGACGACGTATTTGGAGGTTAGATCACTGAAATTCGTTAATATCTGTACTAAATACAAATTCACATGAAAAATAAAAACATCCAATAAAACAGAAAAAGATTATGAAGAGAAAACTTACAAAATCAAAGCTGAAACCCCAATAAATATAGTAAAATATTTTTAGATTCCATATCAGAAAATTTAATTTAAATCATTTATTCTTAGTGAGACTGGCACAAACTTTTAAGAGCATGGCACAGATACGAACAATGGGGATCTACAGCAGAGGGAGCGCAGTCACCACGCGTGTGTGTCTACAGCAGAGGGAGCGCAGTCACCATGCGTGTGTCTACAGCAGAGGGAGCGCAGTCACCTCGTGTGTGTGTCTACAGGAGGGAGCACAGTCACCACGCGTGTGTGTCTACAGGAGGGAGCGCAGTCACCACATGCATGTGTCTGCAGCAGAGGGAGCATCAGTCACCTCGTGTGTGTGTCTACAGCAGAGGGAGCACAGTCACCACGCGTGTGTGTCTACAGGAGGGAGTGCAGTCACCATATGCATGTGTCTGCAGCAGAGGGAGCATCAGTCACCTCGTGTGTGTGTCTACAGGAGGGAGCGCAGTCACCCCGCGTGTGTGTCTACAGGAGGGAGCGCAGTCACCACGTGTGTGTTTATAGCAGAGGGAGCGCAGTCACCTCGTGTGTGTGTCTATAGGAGGGAGCGCAGTCACCACGCATGTGTGTCTACAGGAGGGAGCACAGTCACCACGCGTGTGTGTCTACAGGAGGGAGCACAGTCACCACGCGTGTGTGTCTACAGGAGGGAGCATCAGTCACCATGTGTGTGTCTACAGGAGGGAGCACAGTCACCACATGTGTGTCTATAGCAGAGGGAGCATCAGTCACCATGTGTGTGTCTACAGGAGGGAGCACAGTCACCATGTGTGTGTCTACAGGAGGGAGCGCAGTCACCACGCGTGTGTGTCTACAGGAGGGAGCGCAGTCACCACGTGTGTGTGTCTACAGGAGGGAGCACAGTCACCACGTGTGTGTCTACAGGAGGGAGCGCAGTCACCACGCGTGTGTGTCTACAGGAGGGAGCACAGTCACCACGCGTGTGTGTCTACAGGAGGGAGCGCAGTCACCACGCGTGTGTGTCTACAGGAGGGAGCGGCAGTCACCAAGTGCGTAGTTTTGCGGTCTATGGTCTCAGTGACCCCCACCCCACCACAGTCAAGTGTATTGATGAAACATTCAATATTAAACATGAATCACGCAGCATTCTGAGTGGTGCTATGAGATCTCAGCTCATCCTGCTGTCCAGTGTACCCCTCAGTCACCAGATAGATTGTCAAGGATCACCAGGGGTATACCCACAAGATCCTTCCTTCACTTCCAAATGGCCTCCGGGTACAAGAGTGGTGATGCTGATAATTCACGTATGCCAGAGAGAAGCCACCAAGTCTCCCTCCTAGTGAAAAGGTGGAGGCTCTTGACTCAAGGCAGGAAATGAAATCACATGCTCAGGTTGCTAAGATCTACGGTGAGAACCTACCTGCTACTCATCAGTTGAGAAGGAGAAAGAGAAGCATCCTAGTTTTGCTATTGGAAACCACAAAAGGTACAGACGCAGTGTATGATAAGCGCTTATTTAAAAGGAATTCAAGGATACCACCCACTGCCTTAGGTATAACTGCAGGGACAAAGGGAATCTCTGAAGGCCAACACACAGGCATCACTCTCTGCTGTCTCGGAGATCCATGGAACCAGCCAGGACCGGGATGCATTTGGCTCTTTACTCAAAAATCTATACTTTCACCCAGTTACACACTTAAAAGATTAATCTTTCTCTTCTTCTATATTTATTTCTATCTCTTTAGATATAAATTCAGAATGGGACTTTAAGTAATCCCTCTCTTACTGGAAAAGGTATTTGAGATCCTCTACTGAAAGTTCTTGTGAAACCCATGAGGAAGAATCACACTGAGGGTACAGGAGAAAGACACAGGGGGCCAGCGCCACCTGCGACACTGGCACACATTTGGGTGCCAATTTGTGTCCTGGCTGCTCCGCTTCCAATCCAGCTCCCTGCTAATAGCCAAGCATTTGGGCCCCTGCCACCCATGTGGGAGATCAGGGGCTCCAGGCTCCTGGTTTCGGCCTAGCCCAGCACTGGCAGATGCTGCCATCTGGGGAGTGAATCAGCGGATGGAAGATCTCTCTTCCTCTCTCTGTAACACTTTCAAAAATAAATCATTTTAAAAAAATAAGAAGAAACAAACACAGGTGAGTGAACCCTGCTGGCACAGTGATTTCCTGTGAAGATGTTCCAAACGTCTGACTGCGCTGTGTGCTGGCAGCGTGGACTCTGCAGATGGGCACACCTTTCCCGTCTGCTGGCTGGAAAGCTGCGCCACCATCTGACTGGCGATACAAGCAAGGAGTCTGCTGCCACGGATCTGGATGGATTCAAGTTGTCTGATTTAACATGCAGATGTTTCTTATTGGCTTTGAAACATGCACACAGACATAAACAGCCATTATCCAGACCATCAGCAAAGCTACCAAATGTATAAGAAGGCAAACAAGTTAAATTAAAAACACATAAACACAGGGCTTTAAACAAAAACACTAATTGTCCAAATGGTTAAGACACTGTGCCCTAGGACATGATCCTTTCATTTCCTGTCTACCCAGCCTTTACTGCTCCCAGAAACACGGAAGCCTCTCTCAGCATTTCACCCTATCTGTACCAGATCAAGCGGCTAGGACTCATCAGTAAAAATGTTTTCTTCATCAACGAGGGAGACAATTCACAATTTAGTTAACCCGCCAGTTTCTATCACAAACCCAGATGACAGGCACATGTGATAGCACTCAGGTGTGGATGCCTGTCCTAACAGGACCACTGTGCCCCACGGGAAGGCACGGCACCCTGAGGGCTCCATGGACCTCGGCAGGAGATGGTGCAGAAAGCTACCGGCAGAACAGGGCAAGACGGAATGTCAGATTTCATACTCGGCAGACATCCACCACTGATGCCTTGTAGTCAAAGGCTGTTAAATTACCTGTGAAGGGTTACTGGCAGCCTGAATGCTTTTCTCATTGTTTATTTAGTTCCAAAAGCTCTTGGTCTTTGTGCTGATTGCCCTAACTGACAGCACAGGAAATCTGGACTTTGTAAACAGGGCATTGCTCTATTGGATTACAGGTCACAGGTCTGTAATCAACCTGTAGGGCTGAATCGGGCAGAGAAATATTTGCCTTGCAGAGCAAAGGAGCTTCATATAAGCAAACATCATTGCCATAAATCATAAAGCGGATGAACATGGAAGAGGGCACAAGGACACATGGTCTCATCCCTTTGGAGAAAAGACTACTACACTGTTTCAAAATGCAACATCCAAGACATACAAGAGAGGGACCGGATACTTGGGTTCAGCAAACTGGAATGAGAACCTGAGTGATTCTCCTTCCTTAAAACCCAGCCTCCCCCACACAAAATTCAGTAGCATCTACCTCTGTAAGAGCAGCATAAACTGAGCTTACTAGGAAATATTTTAAATATTAAGTAAAACAATGAATAAAAGGGGACCATTCCCGAGTTGGGTGAATGGGAGCCAACAAATCGGCAGGAGGAGAGACCTCTAGAAACCTTTCTCATTTTTGTGGGTGGACACTGAAATACAGTAGCACACAGTTGGAAAGGAAACCTCACCAAGAGCTTCCACAGACATTAGTATCAGGTAGCATTTTTTGTTTAAATATTACTTACTAAAACAGGCAGTATATGTTATCAAATCATCATGCCCCAGAGACCTTCTTCTCCAGGTTGAAATTAGAAAATCAAGGTACCATTACAATGCTCACTGATGCTCATGATTTTAGACCAGTATTTTTGAACACAGATTTAAACTAAAGAGAAATGGTGGTATCTCTAAGCTATTTTCCCCTAGACCTATTACAGAAAGTGTGAATTATAATTTAATAAAATTATAAAAGTAAACAAAAAGTACTATCAACGAAGGCTTCCTTTATTTCTGCTATTTTTTATTCTGAAAGCTCAAATAGAAGTTGAGCTTCTATTAAACAATGCAAGTTTTTATGAACGACCTTCAATCACTGGTAAATACAATTATCACTGGTAAATTCTTTTCAAAGCTACTTGGCTACAAGATGCATCTTCCACAAGATAACAAACGCTTGGATAATACTGTACCAAACAATTCGGATATTCATACTATAGAATATTCAAAAGCCTAACCATAACATATGGGCTACTATCCCATTCTCATAGAGCAAAGAGCTACTGTACTAGCCAGCCAGTGCTGTGCTATAATCAGACTCATGTGGGTAATATATCGCCATAATTCTGCTTCAATTAAAAGCATATTTCAGCAGAAGCCCAGGATGTCGGCTCTATGCATTTTAATAATGCCAGCCTACAACTCTGCTCGTGCTAAATGTACATTACTCAAATGGATTCAGAATTATGCTTTACATAAATAAAGATTGAGCATATTAAGACAAAATCCTGCATAACCTAAGTATGTATTAATGGGCACAGTCCCAGAATCTTCTGGCACTTCTACACATTGTGCATAAAAATCAGCAAATCAATTATCATCTAAGATTTTACTAATATTTTCATTTGAAACTGTTTCTCATTCTTGTCCTCCTAAAGATAGAGCAATGCCGAAGCCGAACAGCAAAAAGCCTTCTGGAGAGCCCTACATTTCACCATATGCAGTATGTACATGGGCTATCCCTCGAGAGTTATTAAGCCCATCATGATTTACCCTGTACTTAAAGTGATACTACCAGGAATGCACAGCTTTCGTTGCATAAAGAACCACGACAGTCCTAAATTAGTGTCCCTTCCTGCCCCATCTCCCATATAGGACATTAATTTTTTTTAAAAGAAAAAAAGAAACCATCTACTTCATTATTGGTAGTCTCTACACTGTAAGCTGTCATGAATGTTACTGTGGCATAAATACAGCTTTTGTAAATTCCAGCACCTCAAAGTAAGAAACTCTCATATGTAGCATGATTAACATAATCAGGTAAAGCTGCCCAGGGTAATCTGATACTTAGAAACAAATGAGATGCCATTAGAACCATCTTCAAATGAGAAGCAAATTAAACTATAACAATGAGGGCTGGTGCTGTGGCACAGCGGGTTAAAGCCCCAGCCTGCAGCGCCGGCATCCCATGTGGGCTCTGGTTCAAGTCCTGGCTGCTCCTCTTCTGATCCAGCTCTCTGCGGTGGCCTGGGAAAGCAGTAGAAGATGGCCCAACTCCTTGAGACCTTGCACCGGCAAGGGAGACCTACACATACTATGATAAATCAATTCAATGGCCATATGTAATAGGCTGAATTCATCGCTCAAAAATTCATGTGTTGAAGTCCTAAGCCTTGGCACCTCAGAATGTGATCTTATTTGGAAATAGGGACATTGCAGATGTAATTAGTGCAGATGAGGTCCTACTGGAATAGGGTGGTTCCTTAATTTATTCTGACTGTTGTACTTGTAAAAATGGAAGTTTTAAAAAAAAAATTATTTAAGGTATACAAATTCATGTATTTCATATATACAGATTCAGAATTTACTGATATTTGCCACCCTACCATCCCCTCCCGCCCATACTCCCATCCTTCTTCCTCCTACCTCTCCTATTTCCCGCTCTAAATTTTCACAAAGATCTATTTTCAGCTTACTTTATAGTCATAAGATTAACCCTACCCTAAGTAAGGAGTTCAACAAATAGTATGAAGGAAAAGACAGAGACAAGGGCAAAGGCACACGCAGGAGCAATGTCGTATGAAGACCAGGTTCACGCTACCCTGAGCCAAGCACTGTGGGAGCAGCAGAAAAGCCCGGAGAGTTCTTTTCCTAGACTGCAGAAGGACACAGCCTTACCAGCACCTTGGTCTCAGACGTCAGGCCTTGAGAACTAGGAGACAACACCTGCCTGTCGTGTAAGCCCCTGGGGTTATGATATTGTGTTATGGCAGCCTTAGCAAACTGGTGTACTGTTTACTTCCGTGATTACTATTGCTTTGATAATCCAATATCCAGTCAATACTGGGAGGCTGCAAGTGCGCAGAAGGCTCTTCGATCGTCGACGTCAGCCCCGAGGTGCTCCAGCAGACCTGCTGCCAGGGACCTGTCGCTGGCCTGGTACCCTCAGGCACACTGCAGACATCCATTCACCCAACATTGAGAAGCCTGCCGCGGCTTCTTCACAGGCTGCTGCTGTTCAGTGTGCAAACGTCACACAATCTTCTGGGTCCTCAAAGTTACGTTTGATGACTGAAGCAACATCTTAGCAGTGTCTAATGTGGACCCCAATGCGGGTAGCTATTCTACAGAGTTATATTCAAATCTGGGATGGTGAAGGCCAGTAAACAGAGGTGAAGTTTCTATGCTTCACTCAAACTGGTAAAACGTGGACACCAGCAGACTGTGACCAGCTCTGCATGTACATAATGCAAAGCCTGGAATCACCACCAGCAAAGCTACATGAAATGATATATTTAGAAATAAAAACTGAATTAAAAATATTCAAGTAGACCACAGGAAGGTAAGAAGAAGAAAACTGAGAAAAGCAGAGAACAGAAATAAAAACTGAAATAGCAGACTTAAACCTAACATATCAATAATCACATTATATATCTAAGTGGTCAAATACATTAATGAAGACAAATTGCAAAGAGGAGTTTAAAAATATGGACTGATCATACACTTTTTAGACCAGCAGCACATTTCAAATATAATATTTGTAGGTACAAAGTAAAAGAAATGGTACACCATACAAACAAGCTTTTAAAAAAAAAATGCACAACTGGCTATAATATCAAATAGACTTCAGTGCAAACAAAAATCACTAGGGACAGAAACGACACTATGTAAAAAAATAAAGGGTCCAGCTACTCATTAGATACATAGATTGTCAATGTGGATACACCAAGCAACAGAATAGGAAAACATATGGAGCAGAAAAATATCAAGGTATGAGTTCAGGCAATGGCAACAGGCCGATAAAGCACTGAGCAGACTCAATGCTACTGGGTAAAGTGGAAACCAAAGGAGCGAAGGAGCGAAAGGTGGAGCTGTGGGGCCAGTACTAGGGAACAAAGGGTTAAGCTGCCACCCGAGACACCAGCGTCCCCTGTGGGCGCCTGTTCCTGTCCCACGTGCTCCACTTCCATTCAGTTCTCTGCTAATATGCTGGGGAGAGCAGCAGAAGACATCCCGAGTGCTTGTACCCCTGCAGCCCACAGGGAGACCCAGACAAAAATCCAGGCTCCTGGCTTTGCTCTGGCCCAGTCCCGGTCATTGTGGCCGTTTGGGAAGTGAACCCGCAGATGGAAGATCCTTGTCTCTGTCTCTTCCTTTCTCTCTGTTACTCTTTCAAATAACTAAAGAAACAGGGATAGGGAGTAAACCTCCCCCGTCGCGGCGCTGAGCTAAGTATTTTCACGCTGTCCTCTGTTTGGAGGAAGCGGGGAATGGTGTGGTGGATGTACTGGCTCCAAGAGCAGAAATTACTATAGTACCTGGTACCAGCATGAAAAGGTAGGAGAAGGGAGGGAGGTGGGATGAAGGCCTGGGCATGCTGATAATCACAGCACGGAGAAGGTGGAGAAGGAGGAGAACCGAGGCGGAGACAGACCAGGTAAGGAGAAAAGCATCCGGGAAAGCCTGGTCCCTCACTCAGTCATCAAAGCCTTACTTAAAATGTCTGAGAAATCAGCAGCACACGTTCTCTGTCCAAGTTCCCAGTACGGGAAAGTGGCTCAGTCCTCAGAAGCCTGGTCCAGGAAGCCATTGGTCCTCTGGGTCCAAGACTTTGTCTCTCGTCCCAGAGAAACGGAGGCAGCTGGGTGCGCAGGACGAGGACTCCACCACACCTCTCCCCAGCAGAAGCCAATGGAAACCTGGCCCAGGAAGCCTCTTTGGCCCCTCAGACAGCAGAGAACAGTGGGAGTTCTGTGGCCCCAGATAAGCCAAGCAAAGTGAGACATCAGCACAAACCCATAAAGAATTAAGACTAGAAGTACAGTCTATAAAACTAGGCTAAGGTCCGTATGGTAAACATAAACTAATAAGAAAATACAAAAACCTAAATATGACCTAGAGTCTCCTAACATGACAGACAAAATGCCTGGGTACAATTTTTAAAAAATCACCTGCCAAACCAAGAACCAGGAAAATTTCAGGTGACTGAGAAAATATGATTGATGCCAGTATCAAGAAGGATCAGATGCTGGAATCATCTGATAAGGATTATTAAGCAGGTATTGTAAAAATGCTGTCACCATAAATTATAAATTCTCTTGAAACGAATGGAAAAACCTAGTAAATTTCATTCAAGAAACAGAAGCTACAAACAAAGCCAATGCAAACTACAGAACTGAGAACTATAATGAAAATGTTTAAAACTCAATGGCTGGGCTCGGCCGTAGACTGAAGACTACAGGAAACCATCAGAGAACCTGAGGAAAGATGTGAACAGAGGACAAGTGGGCGGGACGGAAGTGAGGGCAGCCTGAAGGACCTGCCACTCACAGCATCCGCGCCACAGGAGAGAAAAAGGGTTGTGGGCTCAAAAATGTAAAGAAAGAGGCTGAGGGTTCCCCAAACTTGCTGAAAGACTGGCACCCGAGACTCAAGAAGCTGAAAGAAAAAAATCAAAGCAATCCAGGTGAAGACACCCCATACTTACACTTTTGAAGATTAAAGAAATAAACAACACATTACCTACATGAGAACTCAGATTGAAACTTCTCACTGGAACCCGTGAGGGCCAGAGGAAGAGGCGGCTGAAGTGAAAGTGGTATCCTGTCTCTGGCCCACCTGTCATTCAGGAACGAAGAGGAAGTACAAATATTCTTTTACACAGGAAGAAAGGTTACTGCTAGCAGAACTACCATAAGATTTTGGGTAAAGGAAGTTCTTCAAACAGAAAGGAGCTGAGTGCCCCCGTCCAGCTCACGAGCGTGATAAGTCACCTCTGAGGACCGAAACAAAAGCGGCATTTAGGGCAATGACAGAGTGACATCTACGTCTCAGTGCGGTGGACGTGGTCCTGCTCGACTGTACTGCATCCCACGTGGAGATAATAACATGGAGACAACCCCGAGGAGGGCGGTACACAGACACACCCTCAACACCATGGCTCTGGCCTTTGTGATCAGCACGTAGCGTCTAAGTGACACTGGTGCCTCACTGGTAACTGGTGTCCAGGGCTTGCTCCTCAAACCACCTCTTCCAACTCCTAAACAATTTAATAGTATTCAGTTTTAGGACCAAGAAACATAACAACCAATAAAATCACATTCAATTGAACAAATGCAGCAGAACATTTAGGAAGACAATAAAATTTAAAACAAGAGATTATCTTGGTTGGAGCTCAGCCGAAGGTCTGTAGTACAGTGGAAAGAATATCAGATTGAGAATCTGGATGAAGAAAATTTGAGTTCTAACCCAGGTACTGTCAATTCTAGGAAACAGTATGCACATCACTTTGAAACTTGTATCTCGTTCTTCTGAATGAAACACTGAACCATTATTATTTTAAGATGGATTTCACTTAAAATGATTCTCTTCTCACTGACTTGAAGGAGAAGAGGGTGAGGTGACGATCAGCGTGCACACAGGGGCGGGTTTCTGAACAGGCCCCTTGAGGCAGGGAGAGGAGCAGCCACTGACCTGCCTGGGCTCTGTTCTCTTTGGAAACAAAGGGAGTAGGAAACAGCGATGATAGCGGAGGCAAGATAGGAAGGAGAGAGCGCTCTGTCTCTTACTGTAACTTACTGTCAGAAACAAGAGGTGCCTTTTAAGTGCTAAAACCATAGCCAACATAGATTGCAATGTTTAAACAAGAGCGGCAATGATACTGATGCTACCTATAGCATTAGAATTTAATAATCTTTGCCCATTTTTAGAGATTAAAACCACATTCCTCTTTTACTTAAAAAAAAAAATCAGGGAGTATACGCACCATGCGTGCAACCCAAAGAGGTTGTCCCCTAAAGATAAGGGACCACATGGATATACACGAAAATGCAGATCTCTGCCTCTCCTTAAGCCATTCTGACACTCTGTATAGGCCCTGAATTTGAGCAGATAGACATTGGCAGCCTGCGTAGCACACTTCAAGAAATACTGGATGTAACCAAGAAACCTATTTGTCAAAAAGCAAGAAAATATTAATCTGTAGCATCTGTTGTAGAATGCAAACTAAAAGAAATGTATGTATTAAATGTCAACCAAGAAATACTTAAAATGAGAAATGAAAAAGGTAGAAAAAACAAAAGAAATGCAATTCACAGGTATTATTATAAAATATTGGGTCAGAAGAACTTTAAAAAGGATTACAGATTGTTAAATCAAACATTTCAGATGGTATATGTGCAACATTTTCTTACTTGACAAAACAAGATGGATTACTTTTGGTTCTATTGTATATAGAAGAAATTAAGACTGCAAATAAAAACAAGTGTGTTTTGAACCGATCATCAGATTTTTCTTCATTCATTTTCTTACTCTTTTTTATTGCAAGCCATCTTAAGTCCTTTTTGGAAGCTGGCAGAGTACAAGACTGATGTATCTAAGGTCAGATCAGAACAGAGAAGGTAGAGGGTGGTATGCATGTGTGTGTGGTATGTGTTGCTGTCTACTTCACAGGGACGTGCATTCCACGTCACAGTCACGGGCTGGACCATTGCATCCCGTCCATGTTGGGGTCAGGGACCATTGCACCTGACAATGAGAGCTATACAGGAAAGTCTATTACATAATTATCCCACCTTCCATCTTGAACTCAACACTTGTCCAAGTGGGTTTCACAGGGAGGTGAGGTTAGAGGTTTCCTCCGGTTTTGACCTTGAATGGAAAAGACTTTCCTCAAGAGGGCGCCACAGATATCCCTGTTCACTCAAGGTCAAAAGGCAGATGTGCATGTGGGCCTTAGCCAGGGCTGTGTCTCTTCAAATCAACCAGGAGTTTCCTAATAGACATACAGGTTTAATTTCCCAAGATGAGAGAAATTTTGCAACACTTTTTTATATATTCTAAGTTCTACAGTAAAAAAATCTATAAACTGTGGCAAAATGTAACTATGCTATAACCATTAAAATGTAAGACATCTGTGATTTTAAATAACATAATACTTTATAATTTTAAATAACATAAATAGTAGTTTATAATAATGTGAATAGTTTAAAAGCTGAATATAAAACCTAATAAAACATAGAGTAATTTTCTACCAATTGACATTTCTTCTTAAATATTTGGATACTGCATAAATAAGGAGATTTTACTATAAAATTTAGTTGCATTACAGTATAGAAAAGAGTATTTTAAATTCCTGAGAAATATGCAGACAACTCTATTTTTTAAAGAAATCAGAGCAATTCCTAACTATCATCCTAGAGTTTGACCATGAGAGATGACACAGGTATAACGAATCCCTAACAAGGTCTGCAGTGTCCCAGGCAGGTCCAGAGATGCACACCGAAGGGTACAGCTGTAAGGACACGCTGCTCTTAGCCAGGCGCTTACTACCCAGTGAGAAATGGTATCACACAGAAAACGCTGCACTCACTTCCACTTTCATCCGTGTTACCAGGACTGTGAGAACTCAGATATGTGAACTGTTGGTATGTGCAAGTTGGCACCTAAAATGCTGGCAGGAGATCAAGGTTTTGGAACTGAGTCACACCTACTGCAGGGTTTCTCTGGACATTGAAAACCAAAACCTACTCCAAAGCAGGTTTTCTGACTGTGCTTAGATATGTATTACTCAGGGGAAAGACAAAAAAGGAACAAACACAAAAAACAAGGAATAGAGGTCAACTGATGGAGATGAAAGGAACAAAGATACACAAGGGTCTCTAACGTTACACACAAGGAGAGAACCTGTGGAGGCTCTGAGACCTTCGTGACTGCAGGAGGAGAGGGCACTGCGTCGGGCAGGGGAATGCACAGTAGTTGTGGGTCCGCTGAACAGAAGGCCGGATCACAAGACTTCCGGGCAGGACACAGTATTACAGGTACTCATCCACTAACTTAACCCACCCAACAATCCACTCACCCAGCACCGGGCCTTCAAAGGGCTGACAGTAGCAGAGAAGAACAGCCCAATAGGCTATTCCAGTGAGGGTGGAGGGGCTGGGGAGGTATGAGGGCCTGGGGGAGCAGGGAGGTGAAAGTGGAGGGGCTGGGGAGGGATGAGGGGGGCTGGGGCATCAGGGAGGTGAAGGTGGAGGGGGCTGGGGAAGGATAAGGGGGTCTGGGGGAGCAGGGAGGTGCAGGTGGAGGGGCTTGGGAGGGATGAAGGGCCTGGGGGAGCAGGGAGGTGAAGGTGGAGGGGCTGGGGAGGGATGAGGGACCTGGGGGAGCAGGGAGGTGAAGGTGGAGGGGGCTGGGGAGGGATGAGGGCCTGGGGGAGCAGGGAGGTGCAGGTGGAGGGGGCTGGGGAGGGATGAAGGCCTGGGGCACCAGGGAGGTGATGTGGAGGAGGCTGGGGAGGGATGAGGGGGTCTGGGGCACCAGGGAGGTGCAGGTGGAGGGGCTGGGGAGGGATGAAGGGGTCTGGGGCACCAGGGAGGTGCAGGTGGAGGGGCTGGGGAGGGATGAGGGGTCTGGGGGAGCAGGGAGGTGCAGGTGGAGGGGCTGGGGAGGGATGAGAGGGTCTGGGGGAGCAGGGAGGTGCAGGTGGAGGGGCTGGGAGGGATGAGGGGGCCCTGGGCACCAGGGAGGTGTGACCTCTCGGTGGCGGGGGTGGGGGGGGCATAGGGTGCACCAGGCACAAAGGCCCAGACTTGAGAAGGGAGACTTTTAGGAGTGAGGTTGACGTGACAGGTGCACTCCGGCAGGTCAAGAAGGCTGAGGTGCCTGTGAGGAGTGATGAGTCAGAGCGGCGGCAGTCCGTTCACAGAGGCCCTGCCTTCATCCAGTTCTGCAGGAGACAGCTCCAGGTATATGCGGTGTGCCAGCTTCTGTTCCAGCCACAGGACTGATCCTCAGGGCTGGAAATGACAAACGAGGTGCCCACTCCCACGGGACTCCCATATGCCTCAGACAGAGGTTAAGAATGAGTATGCTGAATTACATTGCATCGTACAGAACTTAGGACTACCGTAAAGACAAGTATAGTTTGGGGTATTTGGGAAACGCCTCAGTCCCTGCAGATGACAATGCAGTTAAATGGCAAGGGGACTCTTCCGTGCCTTAGTTGGTTCTCAACACAAGTTTGTGTTGCCTCCTACTGAAGACAGGAAGTATTCCTGACACACGATATAGATACTTGCTAATGAGAAAGACACATCACTGACACCATGCCACCCAACAACACTGAAATTCCTGAAAGCAGCTTACTGTGCAAATGGGTCAGGTGCACAGCCTGCTACTCTTCCTCACTCAAGACTTGAGAAACTCTACAAAATCACACACTTTCGCTGGATCTTTGATTTCAGTCCAATCAGAACAGAAGCCTTCTTGCTAGCTAAGAGTCCATTCATTCACTCCCCCTAGGCCAATGCTTAGCCAGGCATCTGAGATACACAGATAAGTCAGGAAGTCCTGTGCCCCCAAGGCTTCTGTCCCAGGGCCCTCAGGGCTCCCCAACATGCCCAGTGCAACTCAGCTGTTCCCTGCTGAGAACATGCTGGGATGAGCCACTCAGAGCCACCTCTCTGCACCCAAACCCTGCTTTTTTGCCTGTGGAACAATTACCATTACCTTACAAGAGCTTAGGTATTCGTGTGTATCTGTTCTGGCCTGACATCCTGTATGTGGACACAACAAACGATGAGGACAGTGCTGGGTTCCCCTCTGCTGATCTTGCCTGCTCATGAATCTTTCACCCGCCGAGTGAATGAATCAAAGCTTAGTGAAGGCCACAGTCCACTGAGTGCAGACAGACGTTCACATACAATTTCACAACCCAGGGAGACAGGTGTATGGGTCTCCAAGCAAGGGAGAAGCTGTTTCTAATATTACCTGGGAGGAACGGGGGGCTTCAGAACACAGCTAACATTTGAGATCATCTTGAAAAATGTGTCCCTGCTACCACCAGACAAGGAAGTAGAGGTGGGAAGGGCATTCTGAACTCTGTATATAGAAACAGTGAATAATCATTCTCCCAGCAAAACACACTTAGAGTTGCCATTTGTTAGGTGCCCAGGATATGTCTGAAATGGAGCTTTATATCCATGACCCCAGTACATTTTAAAAATTCATCCTGTCATACACGTTCTCTGGAAAAGAAAACTCAGGTCCCAGTATTGAAATTCTGGCCCCTGCGTCATGCCCCAGCTTCCTCCCACAGCGGGGCCCATCTTCAAATCAGCCGGTGGATACAACAGGAGCTGGCATGTGGGCATCCGGGAATTCACTAACTGCATCCTTACTGCAAAGCGATCTTCATGTTTACAGAAGCTGATGTTTTCACGTTCCTAATCTCCATGAAGAACAGCAGATTGTAACTTTCTCCTGTTTACTCCTCAGAACAACTTCAAACTTCAACCCCCCATTTAGAATGTTCCATTAGGACGACACAGAAACGACGGTGAGCCACTCCACAAGGCCAGCGGTCACTCTAATCAATGCAGCGTGTTCCAGGTAAGCCGGCCACTGAAAAAGCACCTGCCTGAGGGACCTCGCAGCCGCCGCCGCCCGCTGGCCTGAGGCACAGCTGGCCCGTGCTGGCAGATGGGAACGCGGCACAGGAAGGAGATGGCAGAGAAGGCCGAGCCCACCAGCTTTCCGCAGAGGGAACTCTGACTGCGTCTGCTGTCCTTGGAGAGGGACTTCAGGACCGCGCTGCCCCGGGCCAGGCCGAGAGCGGCAAGGGCACGGCCTCGCAGTCGCACGGCCGAGGGCCTTTTCTTAAGTTCAGCTCCCAGGACTCTGCGCCGGCTCTGGACTTGGTGAAGCAGCATTTGGCTTCACAAGGAGCTTTTCTCCAGGAAGCGTGTTGACTGCTGCCTGCTTGAGAGTAATATTTCTCAATTTAAGAGGAAAACACTCTGATTTATGTAAGTATGTCATAAAGTAGTGCCCGTGACTTTGTCAGATTATTGCTGGTTATTGACGAGGGCATGTTTCAAGAACCAATCGTGAGGATGGAGAGGAGACCATGCACCTCAGGCCATGCTGCCTTGGAAGGCGGAGACAAGCACAAGCCCCCAGTCTCTACGCCAGCCCTAGCCCAGGACACATGGCTTCCTGACCTCCAATCACCTCCCCAAACTTGGTTCCTACACTAAGCCAAGCCATACTCAACTTCCCGTAGTTACGAAACAACCACATACACCTGTACTACTCTACCTTCTCCTCTCCCTTAACCACCGCATGGACACAAAGTAGGAGCCTGATGCCCACATTGTGCCCGTTGTACATTAGGATCAAAAACAACAAAGAGGCTAAGGAAGCTTGACAGAGGAACATAAAATGAATCAATGCAGTTTTGGGAAGAAGGTGGTGAGATTTTAGCTTACCAAACCAGGAAAGTAGAAAGGCTGACAAAACCTTATCATCACCTCAGAGCAAGGTGTCTGCTGCTGGCACACATGGGCACCCTGAGTGGGGGTCCAGGGCCATGTGGAGACCAGCAAGGACAACAGACACTGCCAGGAGGGTGAGGGGCCTGCGAACCAGATGTGGTGGGGAGGGGGACAGTGGCAAAGTGACTCACTCTGATAAACAATGAACATCTGGAACTGCTGCATGGAGGGATGCAGCTTTGAGACAAAGTAAAGATGGAGGCCACTTAAAAGGGCCCCTGATTCTACTGAGGACAAGGAAGTGAGTTACAGGGGAGGTTTTGGCTCCACATCTAGATGAACTTCTTTGAATCAGAGCTTTCTCGAAGCAGGGAACAGGGTGATGACCATGGGTCTCAGGCAGAGTCTGCCTGGTACCCGCAGCGTAGAGTGTGGGCAGTCAGAGAGGTGTGCCGACCCACCCGGCCGCCCGGAGCTCTGTGTGTTCCACAGCTCTGGGTCTAAGGAGCCTCTTCCACCCCGACTGGACGTGACTCAGCACTTCTCAGTTAGCATCATGCTGCAGCACAGTACTGGGGGCACCTAGAACACTACTTCTTTGAACATTTTACCAAGAGGACTTCGCCTTTCATCCCTCCTTACCCAGTACACCACAATGTAGCTCTTACAAAGAACTCTCTGTGTTCTTTAGAGCAAAGACATACTGGAGTGCTGATTATGCAAAGACTGCGTAAATGACTGATCTCTATCCCACGCCTTTTGCACCATCTGTCTTCCTCCTTTAGCGCCCCTTCAGCTGCTGGCTCCCCCGCCACCCTGGCGATAGAGTCTGCACCTTTTCTTTCTACTCCAGCTGTGTCCTTTCCAAGTCCAAGTGCTGCTGCTGTTGCAATTCCCAGCTACCCTGTTGTCCCAGAACAAACTGATTCTCTTCAAATCCCACAGTTTCCTGCCCCAGGGCTACCCTAAGATTCACCTGCACAGACACTTCCCTTTAGCTTCTCTCCAGTTCCTTTGGGCTCCCAGTCCCCTCTGTTTCTTCAACCCAGCCTAAATGATCTCAATGACCTTCAGGCATTCCTCAGGATGGCCGTCAGGGGTCCAGATTCCTAAGTGGAGTGACTTCACCAACTTCCTCAGATCCATGCGAAGTCCTTGTTTTGGGGCTACTAGTGCCCTCCAGTGATGCCTGTCAGTAGCATCCCTGTATCAGTATCAGTATCAGTATCAATAGTTAGCATGCCTGGTTTGTAACATATACCAAGGCCTTCAGGATTAAGCTCAATTACAATCTCCGAAGTTCTGTTCAGAGTGCGTGTACCCAGTCATATCTATCTTTATTTTTCCCATCAATAGCGTCATTTCCTTCCTTTGTACAAGCATATGTCTATGATAAATACCTGATCACTTGGAAAGGACCATGGTAATGAAGTTAGAGGTGTGTGGATATGGGCTAAGGTAAGACATTAAAGGTGAGCACTTCAGTTCTCCTGAGCATTGGAGTAGCATGCCAGGAAAAGGAACTGGTAAGCCAGATAATCGGCTACTGCTGTAAGCAGCTACATAAACACTCATAACCTACATTTAAAATAAATAGCCAAATGTGTATTTGTATTTATATAAAAGCACTGATCCAGTAAAACTTAACTTTCTGGTAGCAACAAAAGATTTAAATGATAAAAGTAGATTATGGCAAAGCAAGTTAAC